CCGTTCTTCAACCGGGACTCTCAGTCCACGGACAAGCCCTTTGATGAAGAACGCCTGGTTTGCCTCAGCTTCTGCCATAGTTAGAGCTGCATGAATTGATACTACCTGTTCCTCATTCACAGAAACAGCCGTGTGCGACCTGTAGCTTTAAATTCATCTAATGTTTCAATAAACTCTACTGTAGGGCTGGGCGATATGGCAAAAATAGAATATCACGATTGTTCAAATATTTTATCACGATTTTTTATCCATGAATACCATAACTTCAATTGTGTATTAAAGAAGAGAAACATTGAATAAACAAACATTTATTCATATTAGGGATAATCAACACAGTGCTAACACACTTATATTTTAAACTCACACCAGAGATGATAAAAGCCCTGAGAGAAACAGTTACAAAGATCAGTTTTTCTCGTTTTTCAAGTAACTTAACATAAATTAAAATCATAAACATATTTAAAGTGCAAACATGTCAATTGCAAACGTATTGTGCAAACATTAACTTGTTCAAAATACTACGTAGCTCCCAGTTGCTCATGTAGTGGATAGTTAAGCTCAAATACGGCTCTGATGTGCGGCTGGACCAGAGATCGCTTGTGGTAATTGCGCATTCTGAATATTTTCTGCAACTCTCACTTTGCATTCAGCGTACATGCGTGGAATGGCGGTGTTCGAAAAATACTTGCGGCTGGAAAACTCGTAGCGCGGATCCAATGTTTTTATCATGTTCTTAAATCCCGCTCCTACTGTTCGCATGGGACACAAATCTTTAACCAAGTGGTACGTCACTGCGTCTGTCACGCTGTTCCATCGTCTGCTGTCTCTGTCGTAGGGAGTGAGTTTTGTGAGTGTTTCTGTTAGCGTTAGCTGCCTGGAAGAAGCACTAGCCGCTGCAGCCGCGGGCTATTTAGCTTTAGCTGCCAGCTGGCTCTCATTGTATTGTTTGGGATGCTTTCTTTTCAAGTGATTAAACAAGTTTGTGGTGTTGCCATCACTTGCCTTGACGCTCTCCTTGCAAATGACGTTTCGCTGCTCCTTGTCATCTGGTGTAAAACCAAACCAGTTCCATATAATGGACGAGGCGTTCCTCTTCCGAACGAAAACCTCGTTGTCGCTCTCAGCCGCAGCCGAAGCCATGTTTGTTCACACACAGGTGAAAACAAGCGGGGCACTAATAAATTACTATGACTCACTCTGATTGGTTAAGGGTCAAACAAAGGCGTGTTTAGGGATGGGTACCTTTGACATTTGAATCGATCCGGTACTAATTCCCGATACCTACGAATCGATACCGGTACTTAACGGTACCTATTTTCGATACTTTTGAGTGTTTATTATTTTAATTCTCTTTCATAATTAAATATATATTTTTCTCAATATGTAACAATATTTGATAAATATCACGATAAATAACATTCAACTGTTTGTATTTTAACATCGTCCTTGTAGTTTTATAAGTTGATAATTAAACTGAAGCAAACATCTTTACTGTGAACTAAATTTACTGTGTATCTTCATTCCTTTTGCAGTTTTTTTTTTTCATTTGATTTTTCCTACTGGGAAGTTAGAATTTCCAAGGAGAAAGTGAACGCACCATCAGATCAGGGCCGGCTCTGGGTAATTTGGTGCCCAAGGCGAGAGTGCCCATTTGCATACCTTGAAGATGACTCACTATGTCACAAAAACTAACGTCCATCCTTTTTTACAAATTTACAGCCTAATTGACAATAACATCTTAAGGAGACAATTTCAGATGTGTAGGTTGAGATTATTTAATATTCTCAATGCTAAATCAATGCTGCACTGAATGTGCCAAAAACAAGTGTCTGGTGTGGATTTAAATAAATTAATTTTGCATATGGATATATGTGATAAGCCGTTTAATTTGAAAAAGTCCGTTTCTACAGCTGATTACAAATAGCCTAACAAGTAACTTACTCACCTGGTTCTAGATGCTGAGATTGTAGCTCAGTAAATGTGCTGCTGCGTGATGCCTGGATGAAGACGCTGCAGCGTAAACAAGAAAGAGACGGCATAAGATGTCATGCTGTGTTTAGGCAGTTCTCACTCCCTGCCAGGCCCGGCGGCAGCGGGGGAGTCCCCGCCACGGCCGCGGCGGTGCCGCCCGCCCGATGTGAAGGACAAAGTTGAAAATTTGCTACACCCACACCTAACGTTCTTCTGATATACAAATATTAAATTCATATTGTATGCGTACTTAAAACTTGAAACAACGTTCATAAAAGGCTGCAATCAAGCTCCAAAACCAGTAAAAAATATTACATTCTTCATCATCACAGTGAGACTCAACATTGTCTCACTGCATCTGGACACGACGATTCAAAAGTAAAATGAATGGGTTAAAGTTACAGATACTGTATTGTGTGTGTAAACAGCTAGCGAGGGTCCGTCCGTGGCAGGAGAGGAAATTAGCTACAATAATAACGCAAAAAGTTCCTTTGCAAAACTTATAAAGTCTACATACCTCTGCTTTGGGCCCGTTTATATTCTTCTTCCTTCCTTCGCTTTCGGAATGCTGATCCCGATGGCTTAGGCGTTCTTTTCCTCGTAAAATATCAAACGTTTAAACGCGACGACAACAAGATGTCCTTCACAGTGCCACCCACACACGTAACTATGGCAACCTTAACGGTCAAATGCTTTGGAGCGGTGGCTCAAGCGGGAGCCGGCGGGAGCTCAAAATGCAGCCAGATCATTAGAATTTAAATATTGATGTTTTAATTTCATGTCATTTCAAAGGGGAATTTTGAGTATGCAGAGAGTGCATTTCATATTACAAACATGAATTTAATAAACTTTTTTTTTTTTTTTTGAAATTTTGCGCCCTATCCATCAGATGGCGACCCAGGCAGCCGCCTGTGTCGCCTGTCGACAAAGCCGGCCCTGCATCAGATGATAACAACGGTGACAATGGAAGCTAACATATCAAGCTAACGTTATCTTTAGCAGTTTATTTAACTGCTGGAGCAGATTAAAACGATGATGCCTCACACTTAGATCGTTGTCGCTGGTTTTATCTTCACCCAATCACCCGTCGCATTTAGTAAAGTGAAGCCAAACTTTAGAGCGCGTTCATGTTCTTCTAGTCGGAAATTCGGAGTTCCGAGGAGAAAGCGAACGCACCATTAGCGAAACGGAAGCTAACATATCAAGGTAACGTTATCTTAAACATTTTATTTACCTACCGGAGCAGATTAAGATGAGGATGTCTCACTTAGATCGTTGTCTGTCGCTGGTTTCATCATCACCCAGTTAACCATCACATTTAGTGAAGTGGACCCAAGCGTTAGCGTGCGTTCTTCTTTCTACCATGCTGCTCTGTTTACAACTGGCTCGCAGGGACCGACGACAAAACGCTCTTGCACATGCGCAGCGGTCTTGGCAAGTTCTCGTTATGAAGGACGGGTACCGAAACGAGGCACCGTTTGAAATGACGTGAATCAGTGCTCGGTCGGTACCATTCGCCTGAGGTAAGTTCCCTTTTCATTCAGAGGCAGAATTTCAACAGCAGAGCTGTGAATAGTGATAAAAAGGTCTCTCAAAAATGACAGACCGTCAGATGTGTAGATCGTAAAACGGTCTAAAATCGTCATATCGCCCAGCCCTACTCTACTGATGTTTTCTGTGTATTATATGGTCTTGCTAATCCTTCCCAATCTCTTTACAGGAACTGCTCTAAATTGTAGAATTGTTGCATCACAGTAAATTCACATCAACATGTATGAAATAGCTCTTCTTCAGATTATGATGGTGTTGATTTAACTGATTTCCATTATCTCACTTGTGTCTCTGTAAGCTGCTGTTTGTTATTGTCAGTTGTTTTTGCCTTATCGTGTTTTATTATTTTATTTGTTCTTGTTTTCTTTTTGTTTAGTTATCCTATTCGGATAAACAGGAGGGATTATGTTATGGAAATGTTATGTTTATTATTAACTGAATGTATTATTCTATGCCTGAACACACACACACGCGCACGCACGCACGCGCACACACACACACACACACACACACACACACACACACACACACACACACACACACTCACACAGTCTTATCTTTGTTATACTGTAAATAAACTCAGAGCAGAAACTCGGGGCAGTTGCCTTGAGCTTCTGCCCCTGATTGCAGTTTGGTGACTTGTCTGCTTGTTGTCTCTCCTCTCTCTCCAGCTGCAGGTATTGGGTTATTGATAAAATCCCTAACAGTCATGTAATCATTAGTTTAGAAATACAGAATTAAACTAATTTTTATAAACTATATTCTTGACTCTGAATTAATATGAAGTGTGTGTTCCTAAGATCGTATTAAATCAAATATTCAAAGACCAATAAGATTGATCATTTATAATTAGATGGAATATCACATCTTATTGATCATTCAGTAAAAGTAACCACTTCCATCACGTTACACCATCAGCATGGCTCTACACTTCATCCTGCAGCATCTGGACTCCTGGGTACCTACACCAGGATCCTGCCAGAAGCAGAAACAGCTGGAGTTAGCAGGTCAGATCCACGGTGTGTAAAGTCCACTCATGGAGGGAACAGGAAGGGAAACCACTGAAGAACCAGGATAAACAGACCCGAGGAAACATGGACGGAGACACAGCGCTGCCCCGTGGCCAGGCGGGAATGTGGAAACGGACCTGTGGCTATTCCAAACACAGGCGCCATCTTGTTAGCGGCCAGAAGCAGAGTATGGGTGGGATGAGGCTGGCCCATACTCTGGAACAGCAGCTGCTATGTGTGGACTCTCATGTGATTTGTTTATTTACATTTGTAGTAAACCTTTCTCCACACTCATCATGACTAAATGATTTAGGTTTCTTCTGGACTTTCCTGCACGAGTCTACATGTTGCTTCAATCTAACACATTTCTTATGAACCAAACAGCCTGAAGACCTTATTGCTGGATGACTTGTCTCCCTCACGTGTCTCTGGAGAGACCACTTGTGAAGAACTTGTTGACAGACTTACCATCTGACTCAGAAGACCTGCTCTCATTCCAGTCATCATCTTCATCTCCAGTTTCAGACCCAGAGTCTGACAGCTCAGAGTCCAGATTCACACCATCATCATCATCATCATCATCATCATCATCTTCATCTCCACTAACTTCAGTCTCTGAAGAATCAGATGTTTGTTCATGAGGGTTCAGATCTGGGTTCCTGCTAGTTCCTGCTCCTCCACCAGTTTCTGCTGCCATCTGGTCAGCTGAGCTGCTGGTTGGAACATCTCTGTCTTCTATTTGCTGCTGATGAAGCTGTGAGACCAGAGGTTTCTCTTCATCATCCTCACTCTTTATAGAAACAGCAGTAACAGGAAACCCGACAGCTTCAGTCTCCTCCTTCAAACAGAGATGCTCTCCCTCCAGACTGGTCCAGAGCTCCTCCTGTTCCTCCTTTATGTGGAGGTGTTCTGGGTCCTGCTGGTCCACACCAGCACTCTGTTCTTCAGGAGCTTCTTCTTTAACCAGCTCCAGCTGTGGAACATCTGTAGGAAACACAGACACATGATGTTACAGACCACCATACCTTTATATTTACACCATGAGTGATACTGGCTACATGATGTGGGAAAAAGGAACAAGAACTTAATTTTTGTTAAAAAAAAATTTAAACATATGTTTATTTAGTTTTTGTCTTCCCGCTTTTTTCCCTTTACCCTCCTTCCATCAACAGTATCCAACACAGAAGTATAATGAACATATGACAGGTATTAAAATACTACTAATAATGATAATAGTAATAATAATAATAATAATAATAATAATGTTAATCCTAACAGATTCAAGGTAAGTGAATAATAATTTAAGATAACAAACAATACAAGCAAATAAGAAAAAAAAATAATAATTTTTTTTGTTACACAGTATATTCCCAACAACACGTCAGACATTGTTCATCGTTGTCTAGTTATCTTATTCACCCCTCGCCCACCTCCAAATCCCCACTCCTCAGTAGATCCAAAAATATCTTCCAAATGTTATAAAATTCATAGGCCTTCTCTTTAACAATATAGGTCAGTTTCTCCAGAGCTAAACTCGATGTTACGTTGTTTAACCAGTGGTTAAAGGAGGGGCAACCAACATTCTTCCAACATAATTCAATACAGCGTTTGGCCTGTAAAGAACAAAGATCGATCATTTTTGTTTTCCACACACGACAGAGTACAGTCATCTGGGTACAAGCCTAAAATACATAACTTAGGGCAAAGTGGTACAGGGGAAGTTGTTATCTGAGAGATATAATGTAACACTGAAATCCAAAATTTTTGAATCTCTTCACATTTGCACAGGCAATGGTATAATGTACCCTGATGTCTATTACACTTATAGCATAGGTCAATTATATTAGGATCATATTTATTCAATTGTACAGGGGATATGTATGTTTGCATTATCCAATTAAATTGTATCATTCTCAAACGAGTGTTAATTGATTGAGTGTGTGCTTTTAAACATATTTTACTCCATTCAATAGATGAAATATCTTCTTGTAAGTCACTAATCCACTCCTGTCTTCTACTATCAGAGTTGTCCTTATGGTTTTCAACTAACATGCTATAAAACTGGGACACCAATCTTTTATCAAAATAGTTTTTTGTAACATTAGTTTCTAGGATTGACAGTGGAGGTTGATGTACTGAGTTATTTAAGTGTGCCAGAATAAAACTTCTAAGTTGTACGTACTTTAAAAAGTGTTTCTGCGGAATATTAAACTTTGCCCTTAATTCCCTGAATGACATTAAAGAAGTGGTAACTCCCCCCTCAGAGTCTTACTCCACCCACGTATCAATTTTAAAAACTGCAACATTAGTAGGCGTTGCCTGGAGGACCGAGAGGGCGGAGCCGCGGCAGTGACGAAGACGATGGCTAACTAGACGATGCTAGCTCCCTTCACTCTGAGCAGTCATTAGAAGTGGAGGACGTTTCTCCCCCTCCTTACCCAGACACTCGAGAAGAAAGGGACCAAGTCTATTTGGAGGAGACAAGCGGACCTGAGCCTTATTGTTTTGAGCTTGTGAGTTGCCTGAAACTAGCGGAACCGACCCAACAGAACCAGCTCTGAATGGTAAGTAGCCGTTAGCCATAGCATCAGATTAGCTGCAGGGTTTGGCTCCACGGCCCTAGAGAGCTAGTATTCAGCATGTTTGAGAGGTTTATCTGCTTCAACACACCTGGTTTTAATCAGCAACAAATAGCTGAGCTGCTTAACAGCTAATATAACCTGTTAAAGCAGAAAAACCACTGAAACGTGCTGGATAGCAGCTCTCCAGGAGCCCTGGGCTCAAGTTACAATCTGCTGCATAGAAAGTTATGAAAATATCCCATTAGAAAATTATTCTGTAATATGTTCAGCCCACTAAAACTGCCCTGATTTCTTTATTTACTGATACCAGCTGCTCTCTTGGTTGTAGGTCCTCTGGTGTCTGCAGGTGGTCTCCTCTGCTGGTGTCGTCAGGATCAGGAGCTTCCAGAAGAATGTGCCTTTCAATGACTCTTTCCTCCTTATTTGTTATATTAATTAAATGAATCTCAATTGATATATTTCCTGTTTTTGTTCATGTCCATAAATACTTAAACATGCTTGAAATTAAAACGAGCTTTTAACAGTGAGGTGCTAGTTTAATTCATCACAATAGAGCTAGTTAAACATGCAACAATGTAATTTATAAATATCCTTGATTAAAATATAAAAACTGGAATCAAAATGAGATATTTGGCAGCACAAAAAACTTGTCAAACACAATATTTATTATAATTGTAGGCAGACAGGAGACAGAGCTGATGGAGGTTCTCAGTCATCGAAGGATTGCTGAAGGCTTTCCAGGAACAGGAGATGTGGTGTTGTCTCTTCTCTCTCTATTCTGCCAGATGAGTTGATAGGTTACAGGTGTGTGAGGACATCCTCATGCTGTCATAACCAGATGACAGGAGTTATCAGGTGATCAGCCAGGCTAATGATGAGATGCAGAAAGAAAACAAATCCAGGACAGTGTACAGTAATAATAATATGTGGTGTTGCTCACCTTATGTGCTCTTATAGAGTATTAACGTGTGCCTGCCTCATGGTGTAGTCCATATTTTGCTGAGTGTCCTGCAATAATGCAGGTTATTAGTTAATTTACTTTTGATAGCAAAAACAAAATATTTAACGTAAAAGTTATTTACCCGGTAAATCAGCTCACACGACACCACCAAGTGTCACAGGGCCAGAATCAGTAGCCTCCTTCATGATGTCATGATGTAATCACATACTTATTTAATTGTTAATATCTTAAAAATTCTGAAATGTTTTAATTGTTTTTTACCTTGAACAGTTCACTGAGCTTGCACTGTCACTGAGGTGGAAGCTGGAATCAACAGCAGACACCTCACATCTTGGTCTTTTCAGGGGTGTGGACGCTGCTCTGGGACTTTCTGGAAGATGAATTTCCGTCATGGTCCCTGTGTCACAAGACACACTGAGGCTGGGAGCTCTAAACTGGGTGGCTATGTAAAAACAAAGAAGCAGCACATTTATAAATGTTTAAAAGAGCATAAAATCAAGTGTAACAATAATCTGTAAAACAAATTAAAACTAGAAGGTAATAATAAAATGTTTACATAGAAGATTATTAAAAATAATTCACCTTTGCTACAGGGAAGGCTTCACGTCAGCCTGGACAAGTGGATTCTTGCAGCTAAATTGGTCTGACAGCCAGTGTCTTGGGCAGATTTAGCCTGAAAAAAAAAATAGAAGCACATTGTTGTTGGGAGTTTATAAAGTCAGATAATATACAAAAGAAACTCCTATAAAGGTGCTTTATAACATTCCTAGTGTGTGGTCGTTGTTATAACGTAAAAGTCAGTCACATATGATGTGGAGAGCCTGAAATGCGACCTCCTGAAGAGAATTCCTTACAGAACCGGGTCACAAGCTGGATTTCACGCTGTAATGCTGTCTGTCAACTAGTGCTGCGTCAGTTAGAGCCACTGTTGCAGAATTACCGACTGACTAGCTAAAGGAAGTGAACCACGTCTCTCAGACTTTGCATTTAGGTAGGGAATTGTCTTTAGAAGATGTTAAAACTTTTATTTACTCACCTCAGACTGGAGCCCGCCGTGGTGGGGGAGCAGAGTCGGTGGGCTGCATCTAAATCGCGGAAGAGCCACGGTGGGCACAGCCTCCCTCTTCAAACGGAGACGTGCAGAATCGCGGGTAAAATGCAGGTTGCAAACTACAGCACCAGGCGGGAGCTGACTGTTTTCCAGACACCGATTGCGCGCAACCACTGGCGCCTAATTTCTAAGTCCAGCGGAAAGGAGTGCAACCCCACAGAGCTACCGCAACCACACTACACTACACCTTCTCACCATACTAACACGATATGGAGCACTAAACCTGAACTACTTTCCTAATTACACAAACAGCCAAACACTAACTAAACTACAATATCCAACAGCCAAGCTAACACTAAATAAGTATGTATAACACTAAAAGCTATGCTAAAGACTAGGATATGCTAATGCTATATGCTAATGCTGAACTACGGCTAACCGTCCTACACTCGCTTGCAAATCCAACTCCCAACTCGTCACAAGGCCGAGACTCTCGATGCTTTTATAACTTTGACACAGAGCTGCTACGTAGTACTCTACTGGTTTACGTAGTATCTTACTCTTTAGCCATTGGCTAAAATGTATTCAAAATGAGTCAAATTCTATGTTTTAAGCTGAAGGTGGAGCTATACTGTGGTATTTAGGCAGAATTTTTAATTTTTAAAGAAAATGCACCAAAATGCTAAAATAATGAATACACACATTTAAAACACTATTAGACACTCATTTATACAGTTCATCATCAAAAAAAAGTTAATTTAGACGTTACTTGCTCTTTAAAAAGTGTTCCTCATATAGGTCCTGCAAATTCGCAACTCCCTTGTTAAGCCATTCTTTAAAGCCCAAGTCATTTGTAGCAGGAGCAAAAAGTTCATTACCCCAAATTGGGGAGAAACAGGACAGCCTTGGAGAGTCATTCAGCATTTTTTGTACTTTATGCCAAATAACAACAGTATTTTTTACAAATGGATTAGTAGTAGTTTTCTTTAAAGTTTTAAAGGGTGCTGAGTATAGATAGCTATGTAATGACAAACCTTTTGAGGACATTTTTTCAATTTCTAGCCAGGGAAGGAAAATACCGTTTGAAAACCAGAACATAGTCGTCCTCAACTGAGCAGCCCAAAAATACCATTCTAAATTTGGAAATTGTAGCCCTCCCCTATCATATGGTAAATACAAGAGGGAGAGTGAGTCTTGGCTTCCTGTTGTTCCTAATGAAATTAGAGAGGAGCTTTCTGATCTTGGAAAAAAAAAAGAAGGAGGAGGGGCCAGCGGAATTGACTGAAAGATATATAGAAATTTAGGTAATAGTCATTTTTACTATGTTTATTCTTCCCAGTAAAGAAAGAGGCAATGATATTAATCTAGTGATCTCTTCCGACACCTCAATTACCATGGGCTCATAGTTGGCTGAGCTAAGATCGCTTATTTTTGGGGTTATTCTGATGCCCAAATATTTAAATCCCTCTATGGCATTTCCAAATGGATGGGACACAACTGGTTTCATCCTCTCATTTACATTTAGAAACATAATGGATGATTTTTCTCTATTTACTTTGAACCCAGAGAAACTGCCAAATTGATCGAATAGCTTCATGAGGGATGGTATTGATTCTGCGAGATGTGATAGAAACACAATAGTATCATCAGCGTACATTGCTGTTTTGTGTAGCATCTCTCCAAATTTTAATACCCTGGATTGATGGATGTGATCTAATTGCTATTGCTAAAGGTTCCATGGCTAGTACAAAAAGCAGAGGTGAAATTGGAGACCCTTGTCTGGTGCCTCGAAATAGCTCAAAAGAATGAGAGATGAGATTATTAGTAGATACCATTGCAACCGAATTAGCAAGTAAAATTTCAACCCATCTACGAAAGTTATCACCAAATCCGAAACGCTTAAGCACCTCAATTAGATAGGGCCATTCAACTCGATCGAACGCCTTCTCCGCATCGAGTGACAGTATTGCAGTGTCAGGTGTCTCTTCACACTTATGGATTATATTGAGAACTCTCCTCACATTATGGAACCCCTGACGGTTTTGAACAAAACCATTTTGATCTCCATGTATAATGGCTGGAAGAGCCCTCTCCAGCCTCATAGCCAGAGCCTTAGCTATGATTTTGGAGTCAGAATTTAACAACGATATGGGTCTATAAGAACCGCTTTCAGTTGGCGCTTTGTTTGGTTTTAGAATTAGAATGATCAGGGCACTACGTAATGTAGTAGGTAAGCAACCTGTTATAAAGGATTCCAGATAAACATCTAGTAATGGGGGAATTAATTTTGCTTTAAATAGCTTGTAATTGTCTATCGGAAGCCCGTCAGGACCCGAAGTTTTACCTCCCCTCATGTTCGTAATGGCATCTGAAACGTCATTGAAATTTATTTCTCTCTCTAATTCATTCTTCATACCCTCAGAAATGCAAGGAAAGACCACACTATCCAAGAAAGTATTTTGGTTCACCAGGTCTAATGGACTGTCAGAATTATATAGGTTTTTATAATATAAGGCAAAGGTGTTATTAATTTCTATGGGATCCGTAGATAATTCCCCTTGATCGTTCCTAATTAAATTAATGGCTCTGTCAGATTCAAGTTTCTTTATCTGCAAGGCTAGCAGTTTACCCGGCTTTTCTCCCTGATCATAAAATGTCTGCTTCAATCTTATTAGACCATCTTCAGCTTTAAGCAAGGACATCTCCTCGTAGTTAGCTTTAATGGTTAATAATTCCTGTTTCCTTTGTGTTGAATCATCTACAATAACTTCTCTCTCTAATTCTCTAATTTTATTGTTTAATACGTTGTCTGTTTAAATTTGTTAAATTTAGAGCTGGTGAAACTTATCATTTGTCCTCTAATTTATGCTTTAAAAGCTTCCCATCTAATGGCTGCAGTTGTTTGAGTTGTATTAATTGAGAAGTAGAGCTCAATATGCTCTCCTACAAATTTTATAAAGTCAGAATCATGTAACCATTTAGGGTGTAAGCGCCACTTGTTCGAGCGGCTATTCACTTGTTCTACCCTATAAAATAGTGAGGTTGGGGCATGATCTGACAAAACAATGCTGTCATATACGCACTCAGTGATATTGGGTAGCAAAGATGAGGAAATTAAAAAATAATCTATTTGGGAGTAGGATTTAAATACTGCTGAATAGCATGAGAATTCTCTTTTATTAGGGTTTTGGATTCTCCATGGATCACAAAGGTTCAGATCTTTCAGATATTGTTGTATTTTTTTCCTTGTTTGCGAGTGTGAAGTGTCTATCCCTGATGAGCGGTCCAGTTTCGGGTCCAAAGTAAAATTTAAGTCTCCTGCCAATATTATCTTACCCGGAAGGGTAGCTATCAATAGAAACAAATTCTCAAAAAATGCAGGGTTTTCATCATTAGGGCCATAAACATTAACTGAATTAAGAGTTTCTTTCAAGAGAGTTCCTTGAATCACCAAAAATCTGCCCGCTATATCATAAATAGTGTTATTTACTTGGAAAGGCACTGAATTATGAATTAACACCATAACCCCTCTTGAATGAGAGGGGAAACAGGATGCTAACACTTTGCCTGGCCATCTCCTACGTACTTTCACCAGATCCTCTCCAAGTAAATGGGTCTTTTGGATAAATGTTATTGATGACTCAAGTTGTTTAAGCCTGGTAATAACCTGTTTTATTTTAACCACTTTTACCTAGGGATGGGTACCTTTGACATTTGAATCGATCCGGTACTAATTCCCGGTACCTACGAATCGACACCGGTACTTAACGGTACCAATTTTCGATACTTTTGAGTGTTTAATATTTTTAATTCTCTTTTATAATTAAATATATATTTTTCTCAATATATAACCATATTTGATAAATATCACAATAAATAACATACAACTGTTTGTATTTTAACATCGTCCTTGTAGTTTTATAAGTTGATAATTAAACTGAAGCTAACATCTTTACTGTGAACTAAATTTACTATGTATCTTCATTCCTTTTACCGTCCTTTTTCATTTGATTTTTCCTACTGGGAAGTTAGAATTTCCAAGGAGAAAGCGAACGCACCATTAGATGATAACAATGGTGGCATAGGAAGCTAACATATCAAGCTAATGTTATCTTAAACAGTTTATTTAACTGCTGGAGCAGATTAAAACGATGATGCCTCACACTTAGATCGTTGTCACTGGTTTCATCTTCACCCAATCACCCGTCGCATTTAGTAAAGTGAAGCCAAACTTTAGAGCGCGTTCATGTTCTTCTAGTCGGAATTTCGGAGTTCCGAGGAGAAAGCGAACGCACCATTAGTGAAACGGAACTGAACTGAATCCCGATCAGGAGAACATCATTCTTCTATACTGAGCCAACATTCCAGTGGTAACCACTCAGACCACTGAACCTGAGGTTTACAAGACCGAGGAGACTTTCTTTTTGACTAGACTACGACCAAATAGAAGACTGACTTTGAGCTCAACCTGACTAGGTTTACTGATATAGGGGGAAAGGCCTAATTGTTTAATTATATGTCTATTGCAGCTGCTGTATTTTTAATTCTATTTTCATATATCTATATAAAATTACAAATCTGGTGCAACTGTGTTCTTTTGCTCATTCTTTGGATCCAGCTATTCCATTTCCCACTCACTGGAAATTTGTAAGGTAATCCTGTTGGACCTAGAGTCTGGCCTATTTATTATTATTATTTTGAATAAGTGGTAACTTAATCTGACGCCAGGGTTACAATAGACTGACAATATATTCATTCATCCACCAGTACCTGTGTCCATGCTGTCCAGGTCCAGGTGGTGAAGAACACACGATGAATCAGTCCCAGCTGATGGATGATCCTGAAGTGGTAGCAGGTTTTCTTTAGCCGTGTTTAGCTAACAGCTGCAATAGAAACAAAGCAGGAGAGCTGATTAAGATGCTGCTTCAGAACAACGCAGGAGATTAAAGATCCAACGCTTTGGTTCTAGCCAAAGGAACAGCAGCAGATCCAGAGGGCAGGAAGTCTAGAGAAAAGCTTTTCTCACCCACAACCTGATTCTGGAGCTCCGACAGTCACGAAGACCGCAGAATATCTTCTCTGGTTCTGGAAAGAACTCCACCAAGTTGTTGAGGAGGAGAAGAAAGTTTCCACAGCCTGGTGAGAAGATTTCTGCAGCAGCAGCAGTTAGTCGCTTTAGCTGATCAACTCTCCCAGAGACTGAAGTGAAGACATTTTTACTGCAGAGCCTCAAATATTCTCCTCACACACCAGAACAAAAAGCTAGCTCTGTTAGCAGCTTCTGGTTTCTGCTTCTTCTGGTGGTCAATGACCAGCATAAAGGTGCACTACCGCCACCTGCTGGAGCAGAATAAAACAGACCTGTCTCTCATACATAACTTCCGCTGGTGGTTTTTTAGACAAAAATATTTGTCGTAATGTTTTTTGTTCCTCTCTCCAAAAGCACCTGGCTGCAGACCTCAACTGTCGGGACGGGAAATGCACGGGATACATTACAAAATAAAACGGCAAACATACTTACGTTTGAAATTGATAGGTTTAAATATAACATATTACGTAAAATCTATGAATTATTTCTCTATAGTTCATATGTAGTTGTCATTTAACATGCGTACGGTTGTAATTTTTCTAAATGAATTAACGAATGGCCGGGATAGGTTTCAACATAAAATGCTAACATACTTCCGGTCGTCATATTTCTAAATAAAATCCCGAATGCTGCTTCGGTTGAATCGCTCTTCTGACAAACGCATTCATTCAGGAAGTAGCCTGACAGTGGAGGTCTGCAGCTAGGTTTCTCTCGTTTTTCTAACGATTTCGTCAAAATCCCCGGAAAAATAAGCACACTACATTTTGTTATACTTCTGACCCATAACCTAATTGTTTTAGTGAAGGTATTGAACAGATTGCTGCGCTCAAAAGGAACAGGAAATGCGTCCTAAAATTATTTGGTCATGATAAAATGAATTTCAGTTTATTTATAAAGCGCCAAATCACGACAAGAGTCGTCTCAAGGCACTTCACACAGTAAACATTCCAATACAGGTCAGTTCATTAAGCCAATCAGTAAAAAGTTTCTTGTATAAGGAACCCAGCAGGTTGCATCAAGTCACTGACTACACACACACACGCACGCACGCGCACACACACACACACACACACACACACACACACACACACACACACACACACACACACACACACAACATAAATACCAAGTAATGTTTCTATGGTTACATTGTGATTCCTTAGTAAATATTTTATTTGGTGAGAGATAAACTTTACTGTATTTATCCTAGTGAATCTATAATTAAACGGATAAACTAATGGTATCACATTCAATGTCAAAGAAAGTATACACACACACACACACACACACCAACAATGGGTTTCTTTTGGGTACACACAGCCACATGCCCAAAGCCCTGACACCTAAAGCACATGAAAGGAGGTTCCTCAAATGCCATAACTGAGTAGATGAGCAAGCCCAACATGACATGAGCAGGGAGCTCCACCGTGTCAAAAGTTATCAACAGTGAAGTGGATCCATGGATGTCAAACTCCAGACGCTGAACAGCCACCACTGCCGCCCCTCTCAGGAAGTCAAACACATCAGGCTCAGAATAATTGTTTGATATACCGTATACTACCTCCTTAACCAAAGCACCAGAACGCAATTCAGTAACAGTCCCGCCCACCCCCATAAACACCTCAAGTTTCAGTGCTTTGAGGCACTGGGCCTTCGTCCAACATACCACTGTCAACAGCCCAATAAACTCAATTCAATTCAATTCAAATTTATTTATATAGCGCCAAATCACGACAAGAGTCGTCTCAAGGCACTTCACATAAACAATCCAATTCAGGTCAGTTCATTAAGCCAATCAGAAATAATGTTTCCTATATAAGGAACCCAGCAAATTGCATCAAGTCACTGACTAGTGTCAGTGACTATACAGCAATCCTCATACTAAGCAAGCATAAAGCGACAGTGGAGAGAAAAACTCCCTTTTAACAGGAAGAAACCTCCAGAGAATCCTGGCTCAGTATAAGCAGCCATCCTCCACGACTCACTGTGGATCGAGAAGACAGAGCAGACACACACACACACACACACACACACACACACACACACACACACACACACACACACACACACACACACACACACACACACACACTCACACAAAGACAAGTAATGTGTTTATAGTTATATTGTGATGTCTTAGTAAATATTCTATTTGGTGAAAGATAAATTTTATTGTATTTATCCTAGTGGATCTATAATTAAACAGATAAACTAGTATTAGCACATCAAACGTCAAGGAAAGCAAAAGGTTATTATCAGGAGAGAGAGAATGTTTTAGTGGTTAGCAGCAGTGTACTAGTCGATGGCCCCCTCCATGAGGCCACCACAGCTCAGCAGAACGTCATTGTAGCTTCTTCTGGGGAGAAAAACACTTACAGAGAAAATAAAGTTAACAGCTGAAATTGCACAAAATAGTACAGTTAAAGAGCAGACTGTAGAAGAAAGCAGTAGAGTGTGAGAAGTGGTCAGTGTGTCCTCCAGCAGTCTAAGCCTATAGCAGCATAACTACAGAGTTAACTCTGGATAACCTATCCTATTTAGATGTAGGCATGTTGGAGGCAGGGCAAGGGAGAGCCGTCTTTACCGACTGTACACTTCACCTCCCTCTACTCCCCCACTTGTCCTGATTTAGGCTAACATCAGATTTTAACCAAAGACCCTATCAAATAAAAATGTTTTAAGCCTATTCTTAAAAGTAGACAAAGTGTCTGCCTCACGGACTAAAGCTGGGAGCTGGTTCCACAGGAGAGGAGCCTGATAACTAAAAGATCTGCCTCCCATCCTAATTTTAGATATTCTTGGAACCACCAGTAGACCTGCAGTCTGAGAGCGAAGTGCTCGGTTACGGTTAGGAACATATGGAACAATCAGATCACTGATGTATGATGGACCTTGATTATTAAGAGCTTTATATGTGAGAAGAAGGATCGTAAAATCTATTCTGAAATTAACAGGTAGCCAATGTAGGGAAGCTAAGACAGGAGAGATATGATCTCTCTTTTTAATTCTCATCAGAACTCTAGCTGCAGCATTTTGGACAAGCTGAAGACTTTTAACTACATTCTGTGGACTTCCTGAGAGTAATGAATTACAGTAATCCAGTCTTGATGTAATAAATGCATGAACTAGTTTTTCAGCATCACTCCTGGAAAGTATCCTTCTAATCTTAGCAATATTCCGAAGGTGGAAAAGAAAATCCTACAAACTTGTGAAACCTGGGATTTGAATGACATGTCCTGGTCAAAGATAACACCAAGGTTCCTTACTTTGTTCTCGGAGATTAATGTAATGCCATTAAGGTCAGGCGATTGGCTAAGCAATTTCCTTTTCTGGATTTCTGGTCCAAAGATGAGAACTTCCGTCTTGTCTTGATTTAAAAGCAAAAAGTTTAGAGTCATCCAATTTTTTATGTCCTCAAGACAAGCCTGTAATCTACCCAACCGATTAGGTTCATCAGGGTTAATGGATAAATATAACTGAGTATCGTCAGCATAACAGTGGAAATTTATCCCATGCTGTCTAATGATTTTACCAATTGGGAGCATATATATAGTAAAAAGAATTGGTCCAAGCACTGAACCCTGTGGTACTCCGCAAGTAACCCCTGGAGTATGAAGACGATTTGTCATGTACATTTACAAAATTAATTCTGTCAGACAGGTAGGATTTAAACCAGCCTAACGCTGTTCCTTTGATCCCTACAACATGTTCAAGTCTTTCTAAAAGAACATTGTGATCAACTGTGTCAAAGGCAGCACTGAGATCTAACAAGACTAGAACAGACACAAGATTCTTATCTGAAGCCATGAGAATGTCATTTGTAACTCTCACTAATGCAGTTTCAGTGCTGTGATATTCTCTAAAACCAGACTGAAATTCCTCAAACAGATCATTAGTGTTTAAATGCTCACACACTTGGATGGCCACTATTTTCTCCAGGACTTTGGATAAAAATGGAAGGTTAGATATTGGTCTATAATTCATTGGGTCATCTGGATCCAGAGAAGGCTTCTTAAGTGAAGGTTTGATTACAGCAACCTTAAAATCTTGTGGTACATATCCATTTACTAAGGATAGATTGATTATATTTAGAATGGGGGCAGTAACCAGAGGAAATGCATCTTTAAATAATTTGGTTGGGATTGGATCCAAAATGCAAGTTGAAGGTTTAGATGAAGCTAATATTTTTGATAACTCTGAAAGCTCAACTGGATCAAAACGGTTCAAGCACAGGTGAGGTTCTACAGTCACCTCTGAAGCTGCCTCACTTACTGAGGAAGAAGAAATCGCATTAGGGAGGATGCTAAAGATTTTGTTTCTAATAGAATTAATTTTACTTGTAAAAAATCCCATGAAGTCATTACTGCTGAGGGCTAAGGGAATAGATGGCTCAGAGCTATGATTCTGTGTAAGTTTAGCAACTGTACTGAAAAGAAGTTTAGGATTATGCTTATTCTCCTCAATTAATGCTGAGAAATAAGCAGTTCTAGTTTGTTGAAGCTTATTTTTTATAAAGCACAAGACTATTTTTCCAGGATAGGTAGGCCTCCTCATGGTACGTAGAGCGCCATGTTCTCTCATAAACATAACCATAGCATCAAGAACATCCCCTATCACCGCACACAGCTCCCTGGTCACAGCGAATGGGTTAGAGGTTGCAAAACGCACACCTGCCTCCGCCCTGATGAAGACCTCAAAGCTGCCCTCCTGAAGCCTGTGCATCTTCACCTGCACATCCCAATCGCCGTCCAAAGCATCACGGCTTCCCCCACGGTCTCTCTTACCAGCCCCCGACCCAGCCGAATGAACGGTCACATTAGCCTTTCCTGCTCCCTTCTTCCCCATCCATCACCACAAATGAGGCAGATGCAGAGTGAAGTCGGGCCACCGTCTTACTGAGCCCATACAGACCGTCGGCCGACCACCCGAACAACCCCCTCAGCCAACGCAAATCCGGAGCACAAGCCACAACCCGATGTTCACTCTGCCGGGATCCTCCTCCGGCTCTCTGTCTCTGTTTGCTCGGGTTTCTTGCAGCATTTGTGACTCACATCAGCAGTTTTGTGCAATTGCATTTTCTCATTTGTGCATGTGGGAAGGACAAACAAACAAACAAAGGTTTGAATTAGTAATTCTCTAAATGAGCTGGATTAAATCAAATCAATCAAAGAT